AGTTCAAGCAGGTTGCAAATCTTGCATCTCCTTGCATCATAACAACTTAGCTTATAAACATAACTTTCTTATCATTCAAACCAGTTCCACTGGATCCATGCACTCAAAATGAAGGAGACTATATGAATATGCATAGGACATAATATGAACAGTTCAAATATCCACGAAGCCATTACATAAGGAAGCAAGATTAAATGAAAGCAATCAATAAATATCTGTACAAATTTTGGTCAAGCCATAAGTTCAAGCTGGTCATTGTGTTAGAACAACTTGCAGGTGGAAGCCAACAAACAAAAAATACGTGTACTAAACGCTTAGATTTCTCCATGATGAAGGGAAATCTTAGATTGGAGACTACACAGTGACGAACAAAAGAAGCTTATCTAAACGAGCAGGACAGCATAGGGAGGAATCAGAAGCTGAAGAGTGAAGTAATCACGCAGTGGTTCAACTAAAGAAAGTAACAAGGCGCTGTTTGAAAGCCATTTGAGACCAAAAGAACGTTTTTGCTTTATTAGAACAAAAACTCAGTTTAGACATCTTTATGGGAACTGTTCTTTGGAAGTTTTTTTCTTTTTTTTTTTTTTCTATGTTTTCTTCTAGTTAACTCATAGTAACAGATGTCCAGTTTCTTAGATTAACTAACTGATGTTCTTCCATCCAAAATCATAAATACAAAATAAACTTGTTCTTACTTGTTACTAGTCATCTAACTACAGTTATTGGGAACAGTTCTTAAAACAAAATCAGAGTAGCCCCTAAAAGCCATGAACAAACCATAACTTATTGTCTTACTAAATATATTTAGACAAAAAGAAAGCTTTCAAGTTTCAACAAACTCAATAATACTGCTTTACAAAGCTTAATTTTATATGGGGTTCACCATTTCACGTGTCTTAAGTGTAATTTGTTGTTAAGTTCGAGAAGTCCACTGACTAACACACAATCCTCTCCAAATCCAGACCCGTGGTATGAGGCATTCTGGGGTTCATCGTAAGTTTATAAGTAATACGATCTCTATTGGTATGAAGCCTTTTGAGAAACCAAAAGCAAAATCATACCATTGTAGACAATATCATACCAATGTGGAGGTCTGAATCCAGTTTTAGAAACAATTTAGAAACAATGAAGAACAGATTTTAGGACAAATATTATTGGGATAGATTCCTAACTATGCTGCCAAAGTAAAATGAATTCTATTAAATCGATAATATGAAATAATTCCCAGATACCAAAGCCGTACTATCGCTCCAGTAAAACATAATTATATCACTCATTAACAAGGTATAGGAAAAACTCAGTAAGATCAAGCAGCCAACCTGAAAATCTGCGGAATTCACTTATCATTACTACTAGGAGGTACATGCGGATGAGGGTAAGGCACGATCGAGCCGTATTTGTTCCCCGACCAATCTCTCTGATGCATCATATTGTAAGGATGCGTTTCAAAGCTATGGTATCCCTGTGCGCTTCCCGGGTGAGCGACAGGCATACCCATATAACTGTGAGCATGACCAGACACTGCCATACCAAGCATGGGCATAGGCATCATCGGCGGTCCATACGGCATCGGAGTCGGAACTGGCAAATGCCCATTTCCACTAGCATGCCCACTGCTGGCAGACTCGTGCAAGGTCTGTGGTACAGGCGTGGACGCGAAAATCCGGTCCGGCGACGACGGGCCCTCGTGGGAAGAGCCCTGCATCCTCTTCAAGTAAAGCCTGTATTTCTGAAGATGGCTCGCAACATTCTCCCGAGTCAATCCCTCCACGTTCATCAACTGCATAATAGTTTTAGGAACCGCGTTCTTAATTCCAAGACGAGCAACAACATCCACAAATCGCTTGTGTAATTGCGGCGTCCAAACAAGCCTCGGTCTCTTCGAGGCCCGAGCCGACGGATCATCCATCGAGTTATCCATCCGAAGTGCAGAATCAGCCTCCTCCACACAATCAACCTTCCTCAATTTCCTAGAATCCGACCCCGCATCTCTCTCCGTCGTCTCATCTCCTTCAACCACCGTCGTATCATGATCCCGAGTCTGGTCATCATTAAACGACTTGAAATTATTCGACGAAAACGCATGCGATTGAAATCCACGAAGATTCGATAGCGTATCCTGCGATGCTCGATTAACATCCATCAACGTCCGACACGGCCCTGTTGATATACTGAATGCCGATGCAAGCTCCGGCGGTATCAACATCTGAGACAGAGGAGTTAGATCGTCGGCTTCTGGTAAACCTATCTCCCATTCAAGTACCCGCTCCTCATGAGCACCGTTTTCATCGTCACCGCCACCGCTATTATCGCCGACCTTCACCTCCGGTCCCATCCTCCACTCCAAAACCTAGGGCTGGTTCCTCTTTTCAACTCAAGAGCAAGACTAAATCAAAACCAAACAATAAAAACCTAATTCCCCCGAGAGTTTAGGGATTCGAATTAGCGGCAGTTACGGTCGCCGTCGAGAAAATTCCGGCGAGAGAGCCCAAGAAAAGAAGCAAGAAGAACGAAATCGAAGAAGAAATCGAAGCAACGAAGAAGAAAACCAATTCGTTTTTAGATATTTACAGAGGAAAATTAATAATTTTAATTTTAATTTTTTTTATTTACGGGAAAGGCCAAAAAAGTGCAATATCCGCTTCCAGATCGGCCTATTCCCTTTGCCAACGTGGACGACTTACCCAGATATTTTTGATCCGCCAAATATCTTCCCCTCAATTCCCACTCGCTCTTACTTACACTTTTCCCTCTACTCGCTTTCACTTCGCTCCACGTGTCCTTCCTTGTGTCACCGACCAGTAATATCGTGAATGCATGATTAGAATTCGAAGTAGTGACGTGGTTATGGGAGTTCCATTTGATTCTTCGAATTACAGAAATACCCTTCCCTTTACGATCCTTAAACCGCGCGTGATTCGCTGGGAGGTTACATGTAAGCAAAGCGGGCGAGATCTTTTAGGGTAGTTAAGTCATTACTCGGATTTATATTGTTACACCGACTTTTGAATTTTTCTTTTTTAATTTAATATTTTAATAAGAATTAAGGGGCGTTTTGGGAAGGTAATTATTTTTTCAATTAGATGTATTTATACGGGGAATTATAATATTGATTTAAATTATAATTATAATTAATAATAATAAACTATAATTAATAATTATTTTATACATGCATTTTTAATTTTTTTTATCAATAATTTAATATAATTTATTTAAAATTTTAAAATATAAGTTTTATTTACAATTAAAATTTAAATAATTTTACTAAAATCATTTATTTGAATATAATTATTATGATTTATTATGAAATAAATTTAAAAACAAAAAAATTTAAGGTAGATGAGTGAAAATTTAATTAGTTAAAATTATTTTAATAATTTATTTAAAGTTAAATAATGTAATAAAATTATTAAAAATATTTTATTTAATAAGAAATTCTGATAATATTTTTTATTTAAATACAATTATTTAATTTCCCCAACAAAAACTTAAACGAATTTTATTGACGCCCGTTAAGTTGGACGGAATATTGTTGACGCCCGCACAAACGGCCACGAGTTTGGGCCTTACAGTACGGGCAGAGAGATAACGTACAAAAATAAATAAATAAATAATAACAATTTATGGGTATTTTTTAGTTAAAAAAATATATATACAGAAGCGATATTTTATTAATTTAGCTTTCCAAACTTTTTATATAATATGGTTTTTTTTCTTTTCTTTTGTTTTTTTAATGTTTTTTTTTGTATTTATAATATTATAAGTGACTGTGATCCATGAAACTAAGGCTAAATTCAAATTTATTGAATTTAGGTCAAAATTTTAAAAAAATATATTTAAATAGAGAATTTTTATTTATTTAATAGAGTAACGATGTGACAACAAAGTGATATTTCATCACCTAAGTTGACTTTTAATTAATTATTCACAAATTGTAATTAAAAATATATTTTATTGGAAATTCTTCATAAATATTTATATGAATTCTCTACATTTTTATACTTTCAATAAATTTTAAAAATATTTGACGGATTATTTTATTGGATAGGTTTTTTAACAAACAAAATTATTTATTAATATTTTTTCTAATATGTTATTTTATTAATTTTTTTAAAGGTATTTAAATTAAATTTAAATATTTTAGAGTAAAAAGACTTAGAAAGAAATAAAATTTATAAGATATGGACCATAAATATTTTTTTAATTTACATTATATTTCTTATAATTACATGATCACGTGAAAAAATAAATTAAAGTTAAATGAACAATTAACTATAGTTTATGATTTGAACTCCGTTACAATTTGAGCACAACTCATTTTATTAAAGGGTATATTTTCATATGGATAAATTAAAAAATAAAATAGAAGAAATGCAATTTTACTATGTTTAAATATGTTATTTTACTGATCGTTTAATTGTCCATGTAGGTCACACCTATTTAGGTATATCATTTTTTTTAACGGTCCAAGCTCACCGCTAGTAAATATTGTCTATTTTGACCCTCCCTTCATATATCGTCATTAACCTCACGGTTTTGCATGTGTTAGGGAGAGGTTTTCACACCTTTATTGGGAATGTTTTGTTTCCCTCTCCCACCGACCAATGTGGGATCTCACTATCTATCCGCCTTGTGGGTCAGGTCATTGCTAGCACAGATATCATTTGTAACAGCCTAAACACACCGCTAGTAAATATTTTCAGTATTGGCCCGTTATGTATAGTCATCAGTCTCACAATTTTTAAATAAGTATGCTAGCACTATTTGTCGGAAATGTTTCGCTCCCATCTTCAACCGAAGTAGGATCTCCAATTTCAACCCGTGCAATACAAGAGTTGTAATAGTCCAAGCTCACCGCTAGCAAATATTATCAGTTTTGGCCCACTACATATACCCGTCAGCCTCACAATTTTAAAATGCGTTTCTTTAACACCTTTATCGAAAATGTTTTGCTCCATCGAGGTGTCTCCAATTTCAACCCTTGTTCCTTTTCAATTCAGGTTTTGGGCTTGGACTCTTCCAAGTGCGATAGCCAATTATCCCACCGCTTTTCCCAGTCGCTTCGCCATTCGCACTCTCTTCTTCTCTATAACCAGTGGTGATGTTGCTTAATTTTCCATGACCCAACAACTGTCTTTCCTTCTTCCCTCTGCAACAATGGGCGCCTCATCCGTGTGCTTTCACTCCTCAACCAATGTCCGCGGTCTATCTGTGGTCGATAGGCACCAAATTCCATTCAGGCATTTCGACAAACAGGTGAAGTCCCGTTTGATGGTTTTCAATTCCCCCCTTCACCTAAGGTTTTCTCCATTGATAACTCGTCCGAATGGTTCTACTAATTCGCCTCCTACCTTGTTTGTCTCGAGAATGATGAGATTCGTGCCCAAGTGTTCATCTTCTGATGCAGTTAGCTCAAAATCCCCGAACCCATTTCTTAAACCCTTCGAATTTTTCTCGTTTGATTCACTGCAAGGTACCCTTTCTCGAACAACCCCTTTTGATGTCGTTAAGTGGTCTGGGGTGCTAGCGATTTCAATTGTAGCTGTAAAATCGACTTTGAATTTGTTTTTCAATCCCTTCTTCTGGATGTATTTCAGCTGGACTTGGCTGTTCTGGCCCTGGATTGTGGCTTTTGCGACGGCCGCCTATGGATTATACTGCTTGAGAAAGCACCTAATTGGCGAAGCCAACATATTCGAGCAACTTTCTATCGTTACTTCCTTATTCACTTGGCTAACCCTTGTCCCGCCTGCCTATTTCAATGGATTCCTTGAAGGATGGCCTTTCGTGTTCTTCTTTGTATATCACTATTTCTTTTTCTTCAATGTTAGCATTCGAAAAAGGTTATATGGGGATTACTTTGTTCGTCCTCATGATCCCAAGTGGGATGTGAACATGCCAAATTTGTATCGCTTACTGTTCTCTGTGGGTATCATGGTTGGACATTGGCTTGCTGCATTTGAAGGACCAGAGCTTCATCAAGTTCCAGGCGGGTGGAGCAATGTGGGCATTTGGATTTTGATACTGATAACTCTTCTAACTCACTACAATTCCTCATTGTATCTTGCAAAGTACTCGGAAAAGGTCGTGGTGCCTACCGCTGTTGTGCATTTTGGACCTTACCGGTGGGTTCGCCATCCTATATATGCATCCACAATGCTTCTTTTCGCAACTTACTGTGCTGCCCTTCGCGCGCCTGGTAGCATGCTTTTTATAGTAGCAGTTTGCTCACTATACTATGGCCAGAAAGCAAAAGCAGAAGAAGCTTTGATGGTTGAAACTTTTGGAGAGGGGTATGTAGAATATGCAAACAAAGTTAGGTACAAGTTTATTCCCTTTGTTTATTAGTTTACTTGCCATCATGGTTCATAAGTATTTACGGTTGAATTTCAAATTTTACATCTGAGCTTGATTTAGGTTTGAAAAGTGAACGTTGTATGAATGAAATGCATTATTGTTTATCCTGCCAGGATAGAAATTTGAATTAAATCATCTCATGGTGCCTTCCCTTCCCCCCCTCCTCCGCTCAATTATTACACCGGCCAGTTTAATACTATGATTTGATTATGCTCTTGTAAAAGGAACATTGGCTTTCATGGTAGCATATATCATGCTTAGATCTCATGCTAACGTCATCACGTTGAATAAGTTATTTTCTTGATGAAAAGTTTGAAAATCTTATATGCAAGGATTATTACTCCTAATAGCATCTTACTTTAGTGCACCAATCGTCAATGTATGGTATTTAGTTATTTCCTTCCAGAGCTTATCTGACAATGGCCTCATTAATATTGCCATTGATATTTTGTATCATTGGGTAAAAAACTAGTGCTGCATTTGATTTGAGGTTTGGCTAGTTATATTTTCATATTTTTGTGAAATTGTTTGAGAAGAGTTCAACATATTTAGTGTGAGATCCCACATCAATTGAAGAGGGGAACGAGTGTCAGCGAGGATGCTGGGCCCCGAAGGGGGTGGATTGTGAGATCTCACATCGTTTGAAGAGGAGAACAAAACATTTTTTATAAGGTTGTGGAAACCTCTCCCTTGTAGACGCTTTTTAAAAACCTTGAGGGGAAGCCCGAAGGGGAAAGCCCAAAGAGGGCAATATTTGCTAGTGGTGGGCTTGGGCTGTTACATTTAGTAACCTAGAAATGACGGTGTAGAAGCTAGCAACTTGTCCTATTTGGAAGAATTTCTTGTTAGCTGTTGTATATATCTAAATGAGTTTAGTATTTGTCTCTGTATTTGTATCCATGCATTTAGATATATTGTATATATGTACTCGGTAATCCTCCCAGCCCTGAAAAGCTCTATATGTTCCTTGGTAGTTCTCCTAATCCTCGGAGTTGAATTTACTAGAGCAATGTATGTTCTCAAATAAACAACAGAGAAAACCTAGTGAAGAGCAAGAACTAGAATTTAGGACTGAAGTTGTATTCTTAAAACGTGTAAATAAACCAAAGCCTTCAAATAAGCAATTTGAATATCAGAGTAACCAAAAACCTTGGAACAATTGGACCATTACAGAACTCACTTCTATTCAATGGCCACATAGAAAGCATAAGGTGAGAAGCTTTTCCGTGACTTAACCGACTGATGTTGACCCGCTAGACTCCATTTGGCTAAGTCATCAGAAACCAAATCTTTCCTTGGAACTTATCTCCAACAACCCCTCTTTGATATTACAACATCCAGTTTAATGAACTGTCCCTTCGCAGATTCACATCTTGCAAACTCACTAATGAAATAGTTGCTATTCAAATTTGAGTTGTGTGGCTTGCAAGTCTAATTTCTTAAGGCTTCATATTAGACGAGTCAAGAATGTTCTTTCGGGATAAAACTTATCATATAGAAACCCAGTTGTCTTGGCTTCATGATTGAAAGCTGTTAGTCCCGCGCCACTCTACTATTCTTCTAGAATTTTTCTTTAGCAATTCATGTTTCTGCATTCATGTGCGTCGCTTCCGTTTAGCATGAAACAATTCAATGATTTATACTATCCCTCCCCTTGTGTAGTTCCTTTATGGAACTTATTTGTAGAAGATTCCTCATGATTCCTCTTGAGCTAATACACAATTGAGCTGTTACTTTCGTATAGGCCATGTCCGAGGCTCAAACAACCCTAATACACAATTGAGCTCTGTGGCTCTAACGGGGCTTCATTCAAGCATGTTGAATAATATACTTCCATTTTCCTTGGAAGTGAATTAGACCTATGTATATATTTTTATTTGAAAAAAGTATTTGAATAAGATAGTGTTCTATTTTGGTGATGTCTAAGTAGACTGCCCAAGAAATTCTAGGCATGCCTCCGTGTATTCCCATGGGTAGCTGTGTGCTTAGCCATTAGAAATGCAACAATCATGGTAGTACCACCAAAGCATGGTCTTAAGGGGTTGAGTAGAAACCTTTGGTTAGTTATCTCTTCAAGTTTCTCTATGTTCTCTCCATTTGTGGAATGTCTCCCCTCTTCGTGCTTTATTTTCTCATCTTATCACCTTTTCAAGAAGAAGCTTCATTCAGTGTCTTCTATTCTGCCTTCTTCTAACCCCCTTTCCTTGCTTTTTTGTCGGCCTTTGTCGAGTAGAGCATTCACTTAGTTTCTTGTCCTTTAAAACATTCAGCCTGTGGAGAAGAGACGTTGGAGTCCGAACTCCGAATACTTCGGGGGGTTCTCGTGTTGTTCTTTCTTTCATGTTTTATGTAACCCTATTTCATTCCGATGCCTTTGCCTGTTCCTCTTCATGGAAGACTAAAATTTTCAAGGAGGTCAATTATTTGGTGACAGGTTTTGCACGGAAGAATTAGAACTTAAGTCTGTATTTTGTTGTGTTGGGTCCGCAATGATGCATTCTTTGCAGGACGCGGTGTGGCAATGCCCTATGATTGAGGTGGTTTTCCTGAGTTCCCTATTTGTAACGGCCCAAGCCCACCGCCAGTAGATATCGTCCTCTTTGGGGTTTCCCTTTCGGGCTTCCCCTCAAAGCTTTAAAATACGTCTATTAGAGAAAGGTTTCCGCACTCTTATAAAGGGTGTTTTTGTTCTTCTTCCCAACCAATGTGGGATATCACACTATTTATACTGGATTTTACTTAGCAGTAGAGAGACCTTATGGCTATCTATTACTTGACCATTTTGTAGTTACGAGCTCGGTTTGGTCCTCTCGGATTAATGTTTATTTCTTTAGTTAGTGTTTGAACTCTTCTTTTTGTGAGTTTGCCTTGTTATGTTCTTTCATTTTTCTGATCGGAAGTTCCTTGTGTCACACATTTTTATCTCTTATTAATCACATGCTTGTAGTTGTGTGTATTACAAAATAATTTGATTGCCCTTTACCTCTAGACTTGTCCTATTCGAAACTAATGCTAACTTTTACTTGAAGGAACTGTTCTTCTTTGTACAAGTAAGATAGATCGAGGCTTTTAGCATCTGTTCATACTTAGCTCAAATTTTCACTCTTTCCTTAAGGTGAAAAGCAGAAAGAAGTTCTGCCGATCAGCCATCACTCGTAAGCTTGCTGAACTTTCGATCATGTTTCTTTGGGAAAGCTTCAATCTGGAGACGTGAAATATTGGGTATGGTTGTTGTAGGAGATACTTGTTAGTCTTTCCGCCCCTAATATTGTGCTCAAATGTGAGATCCTACATCGGTTGGAGAGAAGAACGAAACACCTTTTATAAGGGTGTGGAAACCTCTCCCTAGCAGACACGTTTTAAAAACCTTGTGGAGAAGTAGGGAAGGCGCAAAGAGGACAATATTTGGTAGGTGAAATATTGTGTATGGTTGTTGTAGGAGATACTTGTTAGTCTTTCCGCCCCTAATATTGTGCTCAATTGTGAGATCTCATATCGGTTGGAGAGGAGAACGAAACACCCTTCATAAGGGTGTGGAAGTCTCTCCCTAGCAGACACGTTTTAAACTTCTTGAAGGAAAGCCCGAAAGGGAAAACCCAAAGAGGACAATATTTGCTAGTAGTGGGCTTGGACCGTTAAAAATGGTATCAAAGGCAGACACCGGGCGATGTGCCAGCAAGGATGCTGGGCCCCGAAGGGGGTGAATTGTGAGATCTCAGATCGGTTGAAGAGGAGAACGAAACACTTTTTATAAAGGTGCGAAAATCTCTCTAACAGACGCAATTTAAAACTCTTGAAGGGAAGTAGGAAAGGGAAAGTCTAAAAAGGACAAATAGATACAAAAACAAACCCGAGAGTAGGAATTTGGGCAAACTCAAGGAAAAAAATGTAACAAAAATGTAATTTTTATCTACGCTCGTGTAAAAATCTCTCTTCACTCTCTCATTTTCCATCCTCTATATATATCATGAATTTAAATATTAAAATTAAAAAAAAATTTACTCCATATTCTCTAAAACCCACATAAACAAATTGTTTTTCTAACCAAAATAAAATAAATAAATAAATAAAATCTGAGATCTGAATCCAATTTGGAGTTCCTTAATTTTATATTTCTTACTTTTTAAATTAAATCTTTATCCATAGATTTTCGAATCAAAACATAACCACACAAACAGTTGACTATATATATATATATATATATATATAAATGATTGGCAAAACTTGGAAGCATACACTTTTAATTATTATTTTAATTATTTTTTTTTCTAACCAAATCCCTCTTATATCTTGTAATAAAATCTTAATTTTTAGTGTTAGTTGGATAATTATTTAATTTTATATTTATTAAATAAATTAAATTTGTGATCATTACCTCCACTTATTGACGTTCTTGTTTTCTTTTTAAGATTTTTGGCACGTTTTCAAAGTCTAATGGTCTAGATGATGATCATGACGACAAAAGGGACTACTAAAAAATTGAAACAAGAAACTTTAAAACTTCGAGAACAATCGACGAGAAGTGACGGTCTAAATAAGGCTAAGAAAATAGGACTTATCACTTTCCCACTAGACACTAAGTTGAGGTTAGGTGGATTGGGTAAATCTAGGGTGTAGCGTAGGAAGAATTTGTAACTTGGAACGTTAAACGAACAAATTAATTACATAAGATTTCAGAATGAATTAAGAGCTACAAGTAAACTACGTACTAAGTATCTTTATACTTGTTCATGCTACTTTAACCTTTTATAGATGGAGTGGTCAAGACGAGGGTGTGTAAGAGTTGCGAGACTATAGGGGTTATACTAGATCGGTGTCTTTTATTATGAGATCCCACATCGGAGAGAAAAAACGAAACATTTCTTAAAAGAGTGGAAACTTCTCTCTGGTAGACGTGTTTTAAAACTGTGAGGCTGACGGCGATACGTAACGAGCCAAAGCGGACAATATATACTAGCGGTGGGCTTGAGCTGTTACAAATAGTATTAGAGCTAAGTGCCACAATCGCACTCTTGATGGCAGCGGACTTGCTATTATGCGACACTCACTTTCCAATGACAAGTGAGCTAAGCCAATTCGTTCTTATGTCGCCTACGGTCAAGTGACGTATGCTCAAGTCTCTGGTCTTGATTTAAGAAAA